CCCCCCCGCCGTGTCAAATGCACAAGATTCAGGCTAGTTACCCATGTCGGTTCGGAACCATAAGCAAGAATTTTCGTTTTCCTTCTCTTTCTCTACAGGCCTCCCAAGCTGTGCTAATCCTGAGTATTCTGGATGTGGGGAACACCGCGCCCCGGATCAGCATCACACCCGTGCCCAAACCGGAAGGCAGAGTTCTGCGCATCTCGGAGGCTTCCGCCGTGAAGACCGTGGTCGCCCACGTCCGCACAGACGACCGAGACACCGGACCCAACGGAATCGTGGACTGTCGGAGCGCCACTCAGGGGTTCAACATGCGGCGGTTTGAGGGCAGCGGCTTCCTGGTAGAGACCAGCGAGCCACTTGACCGTGAGACGTCGGAAGAAATCAACGTGACCATCATCTGCGACGATCGCGGGTCTCCAAAACTCTCGGCTTCCGGCTCCTTCATAATAAGGCTCATCGACTCCAACGATAACGCGCCTGTGTTCACGAGGAAGATCTACGAGGCTAACCTCACCGAGGGCAACAGGAGAGGGGATCACGTGCTGTTTGTCAAAGCTCACGACCGAGACATCAACGAGAACGCTGAGATTCACTACACCATCTCCATGAGCACTGCAGAGTCTTCGTCATCCTTCCTCATTGACAGCAGGACAGGAGAGATCACTGCAGGGGAGGAGTTTGACAGAGAGACTCTGTCACAGGTAAGGAAAAAATTCCACATACAAGAAAAGCATATGAATATTTAGTGTAGAATCTAATTGAAGAATTCAGTACTGAAAAAAAACAACCCCACCATAAACATTGCTGAAAGAATTACTCTAAATAAGAATAAAAGAACAGTCAATATTGAATGACGGAATCAAATTTTAATAACCTGTTCTTGTTTCAAAGGCGTCCTGTTGTCTCTCGTCTGGAAACAATACAAAACAAGCTGCCGCACTCTCAGTTAATGCAGCGATTTGAGAAGAGAATTCGTATCTAATTGAGAGAGGAATATGATCGTTCCTGGAACATTTCTGCCACTTTATAGGCTTTTTATGAGATCAAATAGGTCGGATCCGAAACTGATGACTCTAATGTCTATTAATGAGTGTAACATTTAGCCGACGATAAGGTCTCTGCCTTTGAGCTTCTTTCAAAGAGCCCTTAGTTTGTCTATTACAATATTATGTTGTCTTTGTACTAGTAGGCAATTTGCACTCTTTTATCTATATTATGGCTATTGCTTTTTTTAAAGAACAAAACTGTACCATGAATTTGTCTCTCACTTCGCTGTCACTAACAAACTATGAACCTGGCCTTTGAGTTACATCATTTGTTTGTCTTACTTTTGTCTTTGCCTTTTTGAACCCCCTCTGTTGTCTCACTCAAGCTAGTAGAAAATACTGTTGCTGTGCTTCTTCATTTCTTAAAAAAGTTTAACCCCCCCCCCCCCAAACCAAGCAAGTAGGCAAACAAACAGACAAACATTAAAACACTAAAACAATCAAAGAAATGTAACCCCTCACGTCCACCCACTCACTCCCAGGTTTCCTTCATGGTCCGTGCCGTGGACCGCGGACTGCCCCAGAGGACCGGCATGGCGTCCGTGGTGGTAGACATCAAGGACGTGAACGACAACTCGCCCTACTTCACCAGCTCCATGGAGTTCCAGATCGCCGAGAAGCTCCCGGCTAGCTCTCTCGTGGACAAACTTCTCGCCAGTGACAGAGACTCGGGGAAGAACGCCGAGGTGCATTTTTCCATCCCCAAAGAGTTCTTTAACCAGCCGGACTCCTCTATCCCGTTTGTCGTGCTGCCTTCTGGAATCATCCGAACTGGAGACATTCTGGATAAGGACAAGCAGTCTTTGTATAAGTTCCCTGTCCAGGTTACAGATAAGGGCCAGCCCTACAGGTCATCTACAGCGACTGTGACGATCCGGGTCATTGACTCGAACGATCATAAACCTAGATTCACTTTCCCCACCAGAGGTAACAACACAATCCGACTCAAACCCGATACTGCCCCGGGCACGACCATAGCGACACTCGAGGCTACTGATGACGACATAGGACGTAACGCCAGACTCAAGTACTACATCGTGTCTGGGAACAGGGAGAACGCCTTCACCATCCCCTTCCCCCGCTCGGGACAGATCATGCTGATGAAGGACCTCACGTCTCTAGAGGCCAGCGTGTTTCATCTCAACGTCTCCGTCCACGATCAGGGGATCCCCATGCTTCAAGCCGACGAGGTGCTCAAGATTCAGGTGGACTTCGTCAACGGGAGAGGAGTCGGAAGTCGACGAGGCGATGATGACGGTGGAGGGAATTCTACCAACGGTCTTTTCGGGGACGACGAGCTAAAATACATCATTATCGCTGGCGTCGTCGGTGGTGTCACTGTCGTTATCTCTGTTATTATCGTCACGGTTATCCTCGTTATACGCCGCCCGGACAACAACAACCGAAGTCCGACACCTGTGGGGGTTCAGGAACAAGGTGACGGGAGACACTTCGACAAACAGATGTGGCAGAGCGTGCCAGTAGATGACCTCACTCCCACCGACACGGAGGAGAAGAAGGTTGGAACCCTAAAAGGAGGGATGGACGGAGGAGGTGGAGGTGGAGGAGGAGGGCGCGGAGGTGGAGGAGGGGGAGGAGGAGGAGATCTGAAGAAGGCCAACGGAGGTATGAACTCCAACTACAACGGTGACCTCATGGATCCCCCGTACGGCCGGAAACACGCCGGGCCTGAGCCCTTCCTGGCTCAACCTCAACTCTACACCTTCAAGAAGGTGAGTACTTGATAGTCAGAGGTTTAATACACACACACACACACACACACACACACACAATAACACACACAATAACACACAATAACACACATACACACATGCATACACACATATACAAACATATACACATACACACAGACACACACACACAGACAAGCACATTCATATACACACATGCAAACACATGCGCACCAACAGACATAACACAATTGCAAACACACACCAATGCACTCATACATGCATTTGCCTATGAGGCGCACAAGAGCAGATACACACAAAATAAATGTTATACAATTAATGCTCGAGCGTACACGCTCATATGCACCCACGCGCACGCGTTGATAGTCATACATAAGTAGCCGCTATGGTGCTCGTAGAACCACAGCTTCAAGGCGACACAAATAGTCGCTCATGCTTTCTCTCTTTGACCATTGACATAAATAATTCTCTCTCTCTCTCTCTCTCTCTCTA